AGAGTAGAGTCACCACTCAGATGGACTAGGAGAATGATGCGCCTAAAGCTGAGGGAGCAGAGTTGTTCCCAGTGGGCCTAGAAGGCGGAGCTGAAGCTCAGAGCCGAGGGGCCTCCACGCCGAATCCTGACAGTGTGGCCAATACCTAGAGTCTGGAGGGCAGGGCCACTGTATAAACGGTCTCAGAGAACAGAGGATTATACTTAAGCCTTGACGGCTAGTGTAATGTGTTCTGCTAACTTGCTTGGTGTCTGTTATGCCTTCTTCCCCCCAATTTCTCCTATTTGTAATGGAAATGTCTAGCTTGTGCCTATTCTGCCATTGTACTTGGGAAGCAGGTAACTTGTATTCTAGAGTTCACAGATGAAGAGGAATTTTTTGATCTTGGACTTGGGAGTTGATTTTAGACTTTTGCTATGATATGATGGGGTGAATATGTTTTACATGTGGCAATGACATGAATTTTGGGGGGCCAAAGGGTAGAATGTCATGGATTGAACTGTGTCCCCCAAAAATGTGTCAACTTGGTTAGGCCGTGATTCCCAGTACTGTGTGGTAGTCTTCCACTTTGTGATTTTCCTATGTGTTATAAATCATAATCTCTGCCTGTGGTTAAAGAGGATTAGGGTGGGATGTAACATCCTTGTTCAGGTCACATCCTTGATCCAATGTAAAGGGAGATTCGCTGGGGTGTGGCCTGCACCACCTTTTACCTTACGAGATAAAAGGGAAGCAAGCAGAGATTTGGGGACCTCATACCACCAAGAAAGCAGTGCCAGGAGCAGAGCTCATCCACTGGACCTGGGGTTTCCGCACAGAGAAGCCCCTAGTCCAGGGGAAGATTGATGACAAGGACCTTCCTCCAAAGCAGACAGAGACAGAAAGCCTTCCCCTGGAGCTGACGCTCTGAATTTTGACTTCTGGCCCACCAGACTGTAAGAAAATAAATTTATCTTTGTTAAAGTCATCCACTTGTGGTATTTCTGTTATAGCAGCACTAGATAACTAAGACAGTCTCCAAATAACTCCTCATCTCTATTTATTTCCTGGAACTCTATTTTATAGTTTTCTCCATTCATTTACTGGGAACTCACTTCTTGAATCCTAGAGTTCCAACCTCTATACCGGTAATCCTTAAAAATTTGGAAGGTCATGGACCCTCTGGGCATGAAAACTATGAAATCTCTCCCTACCAAAAGTTGATGATGATGTTGTTAGGTGCCAACGAGTTGGTTCCAACTCACAGCGACCCCACGTACAACAGAACGAAACACTGCCTGCTCCTGTGCCATCCCTCACAATCGTTGCTATGTTTGAGCCCACTGTTGTAGCCCCTGTGTCAACTCATCTCATCAAAGGTCTTCCTCTTTTTCACTGACCCTCTACTTTACCAAGTATGATGTCCTCCAGGATGGTCCCTCCTGATAACATGTCCAAAGTACATGAGGCAAAATCTCGCCATCCTTGCTTCTAATGAGCATTCTGGTTGTACTTCTTCCAAGAGAGATTTGTTCATTCCTCCAGCAGTCCATAGTATATTCAAATTCTTCGCCAACACCATAATTCAAAGGCATCAATTCTTCTTTGGTCTTCCTTATTCACTGTCCAGCTTTCGCATGCATATGAGGCAACTGAAAATACCATGGCTTGGGTCAGGCGCACCTTAGACCTCAAAGTGACATTTTTTCCTTAAAGATGTCTTTTCCAGCAGATCTATCCAATGCAATACATCATAAAATTCTGCATAAATTATCAGGGAGTTCATAGAGCTTATGACGTTCATACCATGTTCGGTTAAGAACCTGTGGTCTACCTTTGCCCCTACAGTCCAGGAACTATGATCTCCTTGCTTCTTAGGACAGTTTTAACTTAGTCCTGTATATGGGTGAGGGTGCGGTTTTTAGTTTTGTTTGCCTTGTTAGTCAATTGTGTAACGCATATAGCACGTCAATATATGCTCCATAATAATATCTTCTTGGGCATAATAAAGCTTATTTCTTTAAAAGTTAAAAAAAAAAGTGATTTGTTTTCATGAAAATCTTAAAGTTATCATATACTTTCTTAAAAGTATACAGAATATAACTTAATGTCTTCTTGATGATTCAGGGTAATCAACTGCTGCGCTGGGCAGAAATACTTTATTGTTGCCAATTTGGGAACAGTACCAGTGACTAGCTGCCAACAAGTCAATTCCAATTAATGGTGACCCAACATGTGCCAGTTTTCAATGGCTGATTTTTTGGAATTAGATCACCAGGACTTTCTTCTGAGGCACCTCTGGGTGGACTCAAACCTCTAATCTTTTGGTTAGCAGTGAAAGGCATTAATCGTTTGTACCACCCAGGGACTCCAATGAGAAAACTAACTTCCCATTATTATGTGCTCAATTCATGGCCTGGGTGGTATTGTTATTACTGCTCTTGGATAACAGTTATAATATACTGAGGGCTTTCTGCAGGCTCTATACTAAGCACTTTACCTACATTATCAATTAATACACAAACTCTGTAAGATACAGCCATTGTACAGATGAAGCCTCTCAGGCTCAAAGAGGTTAAGAGACTTACATGAAATTACATAGCCAGCAGTCACAAAAATAGGATTCAAACTCAGGTTTGCTGATCCAAAGTCCAGGCTGCCACGGCTCATTGTAAGATTAGGCCATGGTTAGATTAGGACCCCACTCCGTGTCACTCCATGTCACTGGGGTGAGATCACTGCTGGTGAAAGAGATCTTACTCTAGAAGTGGACATGCAATAACGTTTCTTGAATGAAATTACTTAATTTCACTAGCAATCAGTATTGGAGAGGAAGACAAAGGGACACTTGCCAAGAAAGGAAAAGAAAACTCTCCAAGGAGAACAACGCTATACTCCTAAAAACCCATTTCAAGTATGGTTGAGTGTGCCTCAGTTACTGGACTACTAGAATTACACAACTTCACTTAATGTCCTATTCATGAGCTGACAAACTGGGATTCTTCTCACAACCTGTGATACAAATCACTTTCTTAAAGTAGAGAGAGACAGAAAGAGATCAAATTAAGAGAATCAGTTTTACAAAGGTCAGAGAATTCTCTAATAAAACATACCTAATTAGAATGATGTCTGGTAGACGGTCATTAAAAAGGAGGGAAACCTTCAATAAGATGGATTGACACAATAGCCACAACAATGGACTCAAAACATACCAACAATCATAAAGATGATGCAGGAGCAAGCAACGTTTCATTCTGTTAAACAGAAGAGTGTCATAGATCAGAGCCCACCTGACAGCAAATGAATGTTCAGGGAGATGCCCCATCAATCAAGTGAACACCAACTGACTTTTCAGACCTAACTCAAATACTGGATCCTGCAAGAAGCTTTCACCACTTGCTCCCAGGCAGTCAGACACAACTTCTGTGGTCCCACACCTTTATTTTAACGCTTCACAAACGGTGTTATATTTATTTATATATTTGTCTCCTCAACCAGATCTGGAAATCCTTTAGGGCAGTATGTTACTTATCTCCAGCTCCTAGAACGGTGTCTGGCATGAAGCAGGAGCCAATGTCTGTTGAAGTAGAGCCACTTTGCTTTGCTTAAAAGGTTATCAGTAGAACTCGCTGGTATACTGCAACCTTTTGGTAAATCTGAAATTATTTCAAATTTAAAAGTTTTAACAAAAAAAAAGTCACCAGTGGCAACTGTGTTGCCAGCCATAATCACACCTGCCTTCCATGTGATGCAGGCGGACATTAACTACTGGAGAGCCTTGCCTTGCTGTTTCCCAGACATGCCAGTAGAAGTTAGTAACTCTGCATGTGTTATTTTTGCAGAAGAATTTGCAATGATGTAACCAACACTCGGGATTTGAACTCTGACACTACTTTGGTCAACTTTTTTAACCTGAGTTGTAGTTTGTAAAAAAAGAAGTAATAATTCCTGCTATACGAGGTTTCTATGCTAAATGAAATATACAGAGTATATATCCAATGTGCTCTTGTAATAATATTCTTTCTACTCAATCCATGTTAGGGTCCCTTCCTATATAGAGTTTCAACTAGAGAACACCTCACCCTAAGAAAGGTATATACTGTACCCAGTTCCACTAGACAAAGCCTGTAAAGTTACAACTCAACTCATAATTAGGACTACGACTACCTATAAAATAAAGAAATCTTACATGTGTGTCAACAGATGCCAACCCTGCCAAGATGTCCTAGTCCAGAACTCCCCAATGAAATTAATGGGCTAGTCAAAACCCAACGCAACCGACAGGGGTCAGCAGTTTCTGCCACCATCTCCACCAGTCCAGGAGGGCAAGCACACAGGAAAGGCTGTCTGGGAGGAGGTGAATGTCTGCCGGGACACACATCCACGGCTGCAGCCAGCGCTAGGAGGCGGCCCGGCTATGCAGCCGCTCGGGGCGGGTTGGACACCCGGGTGGCTGCGGCCCTTAGTGTGAAACCACGCCAGCGTCAATTAACGGACCGGGGCGCGAGTAGCGGCGGAGCCGTAAGTAAACCGGGGAGGGAGGCAGTCGTGGGCAGGTGGCCTAACAGGATGGCTGCTGGAGACATGCTGAAACCCAGGGCCGCGCAGCCGGCTGTTTGGGTTCGGAGGACGCGCAAGAGACACTGGTTTGGGTGCGGGAGCGAACAGGGCGCAGGGACGCCGTCCCCGAACTGACAGCGGCGGGCAGAGGTAGAGGCGGCACGACGCGGCCCGGGGAGGCCGGCGTGCGCCCAGCGCGTCACGACGGGGCTCGGGAGGTGCCAGCGGCCGGC